TAAGGCGATGCAATCAAATGGTTTCCTTAGATAGAAAACTTTGAATCAATCTGACTGTATGATCTGGTGAAATATAAAGTGCCTTTAGATGACATGTGTTGTGAATTGGCACTACAGAAATAAACTGAATTAATTCTTACTTCAGATGGACCTCTGACTTAATTATTTCACACTTATGTTTAGACTTTTTGTGTTGATATTAAACAGAGTCCCCGAATACCAGCAGCTTTTTGAAGATATTAATATACAATTGTTTTAAGTCTCATATCTAGACAGAAGTGAAAACAACTAGGAATACTTAAAGAAAGAAATAGTAACACCAATTAACTTCACCTAAAAAACCCCAGGAGACTTTTTATCTGCATTTTTCTCTATATATTAGGTTGTATTTCATCAGCAACTTAACAGCCACAGACTTGTGCTGTAATTAGATCTTGCAGAATAGGATCTAATGAGACTAAGAGCCAAGATTGTTAAATGAAAATGTGTTTTGTCTCTGACAAGGTAACTGCTGAGAGAAAATATTGTCTCTTTATATAAAGCTGTGTGCTTCAAACTTGAAGCAATTTTTCATACATCAGAAATTGAAAGATTAAAAACGAGTTCCCTGCCGCCCCACTAGTAGGCGGTGTGTTCTTTGTATGCATTCGCAGATTTAAACAGTCCCTAAGTCACAGTGCGCATGTACCTGGGGTTCCCCCTACAGGAGGATACATTTCATTTTTTTTTTTAAATAGTAACAACAGAGGTTGGGGTGTTTTTTTTTTTACAAAGGAGGATTAGGGCCACTGGAAAAAAAAATCTTAACTGATTTTTAAATTTTATTTCAGTATATGAGGAAAAAAGTCAGAATTCTGACTTAAATCCCAGAATTCCTACTTTTGTCTCAGAATTCTGACTTTTTTCTCAGAATTCTGACTTTAATCTCAAAAATTTGGACCTTAATGTAGATGGGCACCATGAAGGAAGAGATGTGAGCACCCAGCTTCACTGACAAAGATGTGAGTCGTTTGGGAGGGCCAGTAAAACATTGGTGGAAAATGATGAAATTAGGTAACTTTTTACATGCCAAAGTGGTTCCCGGTGATGCTTTTTCATTAATGGAAGAGCAGAAGGTGATTAAAACAAGAGAGCTAGTTTAGTCTCTAAAACGGATATGGCTGTTAGCTGTCAGAATTCAGTCAGAATTCTGAGATCAAATTCAGAATTTTGAGATTAAATTCAGAATTCTAAGATTAAAGTCAGAATTCTGAGAAAAAGTCAGAATTTTTAGATTAAATTCAGAATTCTAAGATTAAAGTCAGAATTCTGAGAAAAAGTCAGAATTTTTAGATTAAATTCAGAATTCTAAG